CCCAGCAATAATCTGGTGGTGCAGAGTGGGCTGACAGCACCTGGGCAAGGCAAGTATTGCACCCCCTAACCCATACATGGTTAGCCCTCCATGAGTCCCTTCCAGCAGAACATATATACCGCACAGGGGCGGCCTGACCATTTGGAAACTCGGGCGCTGCCCGAGGGCCCGGGGTCAGTAGGGGGCCCCATGAGATGCCCCTGGTACCTTTTCATAGGCTTTTTTGAGTTTGGGCAAGGACACAGGGGCCCCATGGTCCCCTATTGCCCGGGGGCCCCATGAGTTGTCAGTCCGCCCCTGATACCGTATATTATATGGGAGACCAGGATCACCGACAGCTGCTTATAAAAGTGCCAGTGACTATCGGAGTTTGCAGTCCAGATAATAAATGACTTGTTTTATATACTCAAAATTTAATACAATTTTCTTGGCATTTTTTGTCACTTTCACTTCCATCCGAGACACTTCTATGTCATACTCGAGAGTAATCTCGTTTTCTGGTTTACAATCACGCATCTCACTTGGATGGCAGATGACCCCTCAGCACCCATGTGGTCATCCACCGGACAGACAAAATCTTTGGCCTGCTCTGTTATGGCGGACTAATAATGTTACGTATGCCGTCTGGTCCACCATGAAGAACTCTGAATTTCTACACTTACTGGTGCTGAACTGATGGAACATTAGCCACACATCAGCTTAGCAGGTCATATGACTTCTCCGTCAAGCTACTATCAAATGGTTGTGAAACTGAAGGATATGTCATCCCAGGGATCCCTACAAGGAACAATATTCTGGGCCTGTGGCCATGTCTTCTATTTATTTATTTACAGACAATTTTCCTTAGATACAAACAGCAACAACATATAGTATTACCCATTGCTTCACCCAGTATATCTGCATGGAGTTTGCATTCTTGTATTCCATGGCCAAGACTATGCTGAGGATGGAAGAAGGTAGAACCCCGAATGGACAGCCAGCCCTCATAAAAACTGATAATTGCTGAAAAATTGTCCCACAGTACATACAAACACCCCTGCATTCCCAACAGCAAAAATGTTCGCACATTACCCGATATTGGATCCTGCTTTGTACTTCTGTATCTTTGTCTACTCACCGATGACTGCTACTACCTCTGTGACTGTGCTTCTGTCTCTAATTTGGATCCTACCATTCCTCCTGTCCCTTGGACTCCACCTTCTGAATCTTCTGCTCAGTTTCCCCCTAACCTCAGCGCTGGTTCCACTCATGGTGCTGCTGTTTCTGACTTGATCTTCTGCTGAATCGTCCAAGTTTGCATCTCCAGGCCAAGGTTCTGCCATCAACATCTACTGGCTCTTGTGTTCCTCCTGTCCCTTGGACTCCACCTTCTGAATCTTCTGCTCAGAGTTCCCCCCCTAACCTCAGCGCTGGTTCCACTCATGGTGCTGCTGTTTCTGACTTGATCTTCTGCTGAATCGTCCAAGTTTGCATCTCCAGGCCAAGGTTCTGCCATCAACATCTACTGGCTCTTGTGTTCCTCCTGTCCCTTGGACTCCACCTTCTGAATCTTCTGCTCAGAGTTCCCCCTAACCTCAGATGGTTCCACTTATGGTGTTCTTGTTCCTGACCTGGACTTCTGCTGAATCATCCAAATCTGCATCTCCAGGCCAAGGTTCTGCCATCAGCTCTTGTGTTCCTTTTGTCGCTTTTTGTTCAACTTCTAGGGGTGCTTGGGCCAGACATACAAGAGCCTTGCTTAGGTACTGTGGCTTCCACATAGATTCTGTTTTGGACCATTCTTTTCCAGTTCTTGACCTCAGCACTGTCCATGACTTTGATTAGACTTTGATTTCTTTGTCTACGCACTGATGACTCCGACTACCTCTGTGACTGTGCCTCTATCTCTAATTTGGCTCCTACCATAGAGCGCCTGCTCTGGCTGCATCCAGCATCAGCTCTGGTCATCTCATTGGGAGTGCTAATGGACTCCACTTTCTGAATCTGCAGCTCAGAGTTCCCCCTAACCTCAGCTGGTTCCACTCATGGTGCTGCTGTTCCTAACCTGATCTGCTGAATCGTCCATGTCTGCATCTCCAGGCCATGGTTCTGCCATCATCATCTACCGGCTTTTGTGTTCCTCTTGTCACCATCTGTTCTACTTCTAGGGGTGCTTGGGCCAGACATACAAGAGAGGCCAAAAACATAAAGTTAGGACCGCAGTATACAGAACAGCCTTGAAGTAGGCACTGTGGATTCCACATGGATTCTGCTTGGGACCATTCTTTTCCAGTTCTTTACCTCAGCTCTGTCCATGACTTTGATTAGACTCTGATCTCTTTGTCTACGCACTGATGACTCTGACTACCTCTGTGACTGTGCTTCTGTCTCTAATTTGGCTCCTACCATAGATCACCTGCTCTGGCTGCATCCAGCATCAGCTCTGGTCATCTCCATATGTTCCTATTACTGGCACATTTGGAGTGCTAATGGACTTCACCTTCTGAATCTGCAGCTCAGTCAGAGTTCCTCGTAACCTCAGCTGGTTCCTTTGGTGGTGCTGCTGTTCCTTACCTGATTTTCTGCTGAATCTTCCAAGTCTGCAGGCCAAGGTTCTGCCATCAACATCTACTGGCTCTTATGTTCCTCCTGTCTCTTGGCACTATCTGTTCTACCTCTAGGGGTACTTGGGCCGGAGATACAAGAAAGGCCAAAAATATAGAGTTAGAACCACAGTATACAGAACAGCCTTGACGTGGGCACTGTGGATTCCACATGAATTCTGCTCTGGGCCATTCTTTTCCAATTCTTGACCTCAGCTTTGTCCATGACTTTGATTAGACTCTGATCTCTTTGTCTACGCACTGATGACTCCGACTACCTCTGTGACTGTGCTTCTGTCTCTAATTTGGCTCCTACCATAGATCACCTGCTCTGGCTGCATTCAGCATCAGCTCTGGTCATCTCCATATGTTCTTATTAATTGCTCATTGGGAGTGCTAATGGACTCCACCTTCTGTATCTGCAGCTCAGTCAGAGTTCCCCCTAACCTCAGCTGCTTCCTTTTGTGGTTCTGCTGTTCCTGACCTGATCTTCTGCTGTTTGGTTTCAATGGACGGGAATGTTAGGATGCTTTATGGATTGCTTATTTAGGGTTCAAGTTTTAAATTTTGCAAAGGTTTATGAAAATATTCTTGACCTTTTGGGAGTTGGGGACCACCACGCCCTGACTAGTACCAGGTGGACAGGAATGTCAGGAGGCTAAATTGATTGCTTGTGCAGGGATCAGGTTTTATGTTTAGCAAGTCTTCCTCTGGGCAAGGGTATTTTGAAAACCCTGAAGGAAGCCCGGCCATATTCCAAAGCCAAAACCTTCACAAACATTCAATGCATAGACCAGCTGGCATACACTGGTCCATATTCTGCAGAATTTCAGAGAACTGTGACCTTTAGCCCCTGCCCCTTAAAGGAACTTAGGCCATAGCATTCCTGTAGCATCCACCCAGATATATCGACAGACGGACAGTTTTGAGCTGAAACTAGTAAAAGTGGAATTCCAGATTATGGCTGAAATTCCACTTTAAAGCAGATGTAACCTCAATCACTAAAATCGCATCTAAACTTTACTACGCTGATACCATTTTAAACGTTGTTTGTAGTTTTAGTGATCCTGCCATGAAGTTCCTTGTTCAGGCACTTCCTGTTAAAGGGTGACAACAGTGATCCCGTGTGGTCGCCATGTCTCATGTGCACCAAGCGGCCGTGCTGACACCCAATGCACAGGCATGGTCCACTTTTATTACAATCAAGAAACTGGTCCAGAGCAAAGATGTGCAGCCTCCTGCTGGAGCAAGTGCAGGTAGAACAGAAACAGCTTTAAATAGGCTGGAGGAGATCAGCAGCACTGAGATCCAAAAGAATGAAAAAGGTGAATACTGTATTTTATGAAAACGGAAAAAAATCACGCTGTTGTTTGTTACACACAATGGAAAGAGTGAACCAAATGCAGCCCAATTAGGGTTTGGATCTACTTTGATCTGGCAACGTGTGTATAGATTTTGGCAGAAGACTGGAGGAGCTGAAACCCACAAAAACACATGAAGAACATTCGGAGGTTCCATGCAGACAGAGCCCTGGGGACACGAAGCCCGGGACACCCATTCTGCAAGACCACAATGCTAGCCATGCACCACCAGCTTGTGCAGAACTGACGTGGCTTAGCAGTGATAAACAGGCTCTGCATGTGGGGTGGGACCTCCGGCATGATGGCACCTCAAATGTGGAGGCCTCGGTACATCGCTCCCGGCCGTCCCCACAGTTATCTAATGAGCTGAAGACATTTTGTCACATAGCCAGCAGGAACAATAAGAGTTATTGACTTCCCTGAACTCGCCATGTCAGAGCCTTGTGACACGGGAGAGAGGGTTGCTGAACCGCACACAGCAGCCGGTGTCACGAGATTCAGACTCCTTTCCCAGGATATGGAATACAAATTACAAAACAAAACCACAACCGTGCAATGTGACCCTCAAGATTTATACATTTATGGCAGTCTTTCCCAGACTTTTTACCCCAGAGGAACCCTTAATATAATTTTCAGGTCTCAGGGAACACTTGCTAAAACAATTCATTGGTGGTCAGTGGGAAGAATGTCCCTTACATTGGTGATCAGTGGGAAGAATGTCCCTTACATTGGGGGTCAGTGGGAAGAATGTCCCTTACATTGGGGGTCAGTGGGAAGAATGTCCCTTACATTGGGGGTCAGTGGGAAGAATGTCCCTTACATTGGAGGTCAGTGGGAAGAATGTCCCTTACATTGGTGATCAGTGGGAAGAATGTCCCTTACATTGGTGATCAGTGGGAAGAATGTCCCTTACATTGGTGATCAGTGGGAAGAATGTCCCTTACATTGGGGATCAGTGGGAAGAATGCCTCTTACATTGGGGATCAGTGGGAAGAATATCCCTTACATTGGTGGTCAGTGGGAAGAATGTCCCTTACATTGGGGGTCAGTGGGAAGAATGTCCCTTACATTGGGGGTCAGTGGGAAGAATGTCCCTTACATTGGGGGTCAGTGGGAAGAATGTCCCTTACATTGGGGGTCAGTGGGAAGAATTTCCCTTACATTGGGGGTCAGTGGGAAGAATGTCCCTTACATTGGTGGTCAGTGGGAAGAACGTTCCTTACATTGGGGGTCAGTGGGAAGAACGTCCCTTACATTGGTGGTCAGTGGGAAGAATGTCCCTTACATTGGTGGTCAGTGGGAAGAATGTCCCTTACATTGGGGGTCAGTGGGAAGAATGTCCCTTACATTGGGGGTCAGTGGGAAGAATGTCCCTTACATTGGGGGTCAGTGGGAAGAATGTCCCTTACATTGGGGGTCAGTGGGAAGAATTTCCCTTACATTGGGGGTCAGTGGGAAGAATGTCCCTTACATTGGTGGTCAGTGGGAAGAACGTTCCTTACATTGGGGGTCAGTGGGAAGAACGTCCCTTACATTGGGGGTCAGTGGGAAGAATGTCCCTTACATTGGGGGTTGGTGGGAAGAATGCCCCTTACATCGGTGGCCAATGGGAAGAATGTCCCTTACATTGGGGGTCAGTGGGAAGAATGTCCCTTACATTGGGGGTCAGTAGGAAGAATGTCCCTTACATTGGTGGTCAGTGGGAAGAATGTCCCTTACATTGGGGGTCAGTGGGAAGAATGTCCCTTACATTGGTGATCAGTGGGAAGAATGTCCCTTACATTGGGGGTAAGTGGGAAGACTGTCCCTTACATTGGGGGTCAGTGGGAAGAATGTCCCTTACATTGGGGGTCAGTGGGAAGAATGTCCCTTACATTGGTGATCAGTGGGAAGAATGTCCCTTACATTGGTGATCAGTGGGAAGAATGTCCCTTACATTGGGGGTCAGTGGGAAGAATGTCCCTTACATTGGGGGTCAGTGGGAAGAATGTCCCTTACATTGGGGGTCAGTGGGAAGAATGTCCCTTACATTGGTGGTCAGTGGGAAGAATGTCCCTTACATTGGGGGTCAGTGGGAAGAATGTCCCTTACATTGGGGGTCAGTGGGAAGAATGCCCCTTACATTGGGGGTCAGTGGGAAGAATGTTCCTTACATTGGGGGTCAGTGCGAAGAATGTCCCTTACACTGGTGGTCAGTGGGAAGACTGTCCCTTACACTGGTGGTCAGTGGGAAGAATGTTGCTTACAGTTGTGGTGTGAATGCTACCCTTAGGCTCACCATATATCCTGCAATCTGTACAATCTCCTTTAGATCTACAGACAAGTATGTAGTACAAGGGTCTCCCTGGTTGGACATGAATTGATTAGGTAAATTAGGCAGCTCCTTCATATTACAATGTTTTGATTGTATGAAGATTCCTCAAACGCAGCTCAAGGACCCCCCGGAAACCTGTGGAGGAACAGTACCCTGGCTGAGAATTGCTGGTCAATGACAAGAGAGAGGGCTGCTGGTACCACTGATCTAAAGGACTTCTTACAAAGCTTTACACTTAGGTATCTGAGTGTCTGAAGAAGAAGAGGTCGTGTTTCCATGATTTGGGAGAACATGAGGGAGAGGCAAACTAAACCAGCACCGGGTGCAATCAATGCACTTCCCCAACTCTTCTCCACAGGCTAAACTGGAATGATCAGGCAACCCCTATGTTGGACTTTAGGTGGTCCTGGAATGATCAGCCAACCCCTACGTTGGTCCTCAGGTGGTCCTGGAATGATTAGCCAACCCCTACGTTGGTCTTCAGGTGGTCCTGGAATGATCAGCCAACCCCTACGTTGGTCCTCAGGTGGTCCTGGAATGATCAGCCAACCCCTACGTTGGTCCTCAGGTGGTCCTAGAATGATCAGCCAACCCCTACGTTGGTCTTCAGGTGGTCCTGGAATGATCAGCCAACCCCTACGTTGGTCTTCAGGTGGTAATGGAATGATCCGCCAACCCCTACGTTGGTCTTCAGGTGGTCCTGGAATGATCAGCCAACCCCTACGTTGGTCCTCAGGTGATCCTGGAATGATCAGCCAACCCCTACCTTGGTCTTCAGGTGGTCCTGGAATGATCAGCCAACCCCTATGTTGGTCTTCAGGTAGACCTGGAATGATCAGCCAACCCCTACGTTGGTTTTCAGCTAGACCTGGAATGATCAGACAACCCCTACGTTGGTCTTCAGGTAGACCTGGAATGATCAGCCAACCCCTACGTTGGTCTTCAGGTGGTCCTGGAATGATCAGCCAACCCCTACGTTGGTCCTCAGGTGGTCCTGGAATGATCAGCCAACCCCTACGTTGGTCCTCAGGTGGTCCTGGAATGATCAGCCAACCCCTACGTTGGTCTTCAGGTGGTCCTGGAATGATCAGCCAACCCCTACGTTGGTCTTCAGGTGGTAATGGAATGATCCGCCAACCCCTACGTTGGTCTTCAGGTGGTAATGGAATGATCACCACCCTACGTTGGTCCTCAGGTGATCCTGGAATGATCAGCCAACCCCTACCTTGGTCTTCAGGTGGTCCTGGAATGATCAGCCAACCCCAACGTTGGTCTTCAGGTGGTAATGGAATGATCAGACAACCCCTACGTTGGTCTTCAGGTAGACCTGGAATGATCAGCCAACCCCTACGTTGGTTTTCAGCTAGACCTGGAATGATCAGACAACCCCTACGTTGGTCTTCAGGTAGACCTGGAATGATCAGCCAACCCCTACGTTGGTCTTCAGGTGGTCCTGGAATGATCAGCCAACCCCTACGTTGGTCTTCAGGTGGTCCTGGAATGATCAGCCAACCCCTATGTTGGTCTTCAGGTGGTCCTGGAATGATCAGCCAACCCCTACGTTGGTCTTCAGGTGGTCCTGGAATGATCAGTCAACCCCTACGTTGGTCTTCAGGTGGTCCTGGAATGATCAGCCAACCCCTACGTTGGTCTTCAGGTGGTCCTGGAATGATCAGCCAACCCCTACGTTGGGAATGATCAGCCAACCCCTACGTTGGTCTTCATGTGGTAATGGAATGATCAGCCAACCCCTACATTGGTCTTCAGGTGGTCCTGGAATGATCAGCCAACCCCTACGTGGTCTTCAGGTGGTCCTGGAATGATCAGCCAACCCCTACGTTGGTCTTCAGGTGGTCAAATGCGCGAATATGAACTTTAGCTCAGTACTCAGGCCTGCAAGGTTTCCTCTAGGTTTTTTGTCTCCTCCTACCATCTACAGTCCAGCCAAACGTTTTTCTTTTAGAATGGGGAAGGATTAGAATCCCTCTCGACTTCTTACTGCTCTCTGGGTCCCTCATTCACCAAAAGGTTGGTGGAATGTATCCGGTCTTCTTCTATTCATTGAGTTTGACTACAGCTGCAAATTCAATTATTGTCGGACGTGGCCTGACCCCTTGTGCTTGCACCTTCAGCAAAAATGTGTGAACTTTGAATATATTTTCTTCGTCTCAACCTGCCAGCGAGATTTCAGATCCATCTTCTTTTATGAAGTTTGTAGCTTGGCTTAAGCGTCTTTGGATCCTATAAATCTATGTAAAGTGTAATTTGTTGGCGCAATATAAAGATGTACAGTAAATAAGGTTGGTACGCGAGACGTCTAGGCACGTTGTGCGTCTGATTCACGGAAACTCGGATTCTCCAGCATTCAGCTCTGAACTCATACTGTCACCTGGTGGCCGATTCTCCCAAAACGCTGAAATCACAAGGAGAGCGAATGCAGGAAATCATCGAGCCGCCCTGAGATCCTCTGTGGGTCACTGCCAGGGGTAGACTGACCATTTGGGTACTCGGGCACTGTCCAAGGGCCCGGGGTCAGTAGGGGGTCCCATGAGCTGCCCCTGGTACCTTTCATAGGCTTTTTTTGGTGTGGGAGAGGACACAGGGACCCCATGATCCCCTATTGCCTGGGGGCCCCATGAGTTGTCAGTCCACCCCTAGTCACCACATATCCCAGCTTCTCTTGCCATCCGGCCCATAACTAGATTGTATTCAGTCTGCAGCTGGGGCCAGTGAATTATCCTCAATGTGCACTGATTGAGGATTCAGGTCAGCAATGGCAGCTTATGGTCTCTCTTTTAACCTGATGTAAGGGGGGGGGGCTCTAATGAGGTTACTGATGTAAAGGGGGCTTTTATCGGGACCTTAATGTAAGGGGGGATTCTGATAGGGGCCTTTGATGTAAGGGGCTTCTAATGGGGACCCTAATAGAATGAAGACCATGATGGGGAATTTGATGTACGGGGGTCTTTGATGGGGAGGGACTGTAATGGAGACTCTGATGGGGACCCTGATATAAGGGGGATTCTGATGGGGACCATGATGTAAGGGGGACTCCTATGGGGACCCTGATATAAGAGGGACTGCTATGGGGACCCTGATGTATGGGGGACTCCTATGGGGAACATGATATAAGGGAGACCCAGATGCAGACTTTGATATGAGGTACTGTAATGGAGACTCTGAGGTAAAGGAGACTTTGATGGGGACTCTGATGTGAGGAGGACTTTGACAGGGACCCTGATGTAAGGGGGGACTCTAATGGGGACCCTGATATAAGGGGGGCTCTGATGGGGACCCTGATGTAAGGGGGTTTCTGATGGGGACAGTGATATAGGGGGACCCTGATTGGGATTCCTATGTAAAGGGGACAATGATGGTGACCCTGATGTAAGGGGGGTGGTCTCTGATGGGGACCCTGCTGTAAGGGAGGACTCTGATGTATTCGGGACTCTGATGGGGATCCAGATGTAAAGGGAAACTCTGATGGGAACCCTGATGTAAGGGGGGACTCTGATGGGGACCCTGATGTAAGGGGGGGTCTCTGTATTAGTGGGGATTGGTGTAGGGGACTCTGATGGGGATCCTGATGTAAGGGGGGCTCTGATGGGGACCCTGATGTAAGGGGGCTCTGATGGGGACCCTGATGTAAGGGGGGCTCTGATGGGGACCCTGATGTAAGGGGGGCTCTGGGGGACTCTGATGTAAGGGGGGCTCTGATGGGGACCCTAAGGGGGGCTCTGATGGGGACCCTGATGTAAGGGTGGCTCTGATAGAAACCTTGATGTAAAGGGGGTTCTGATGTAAACCCTGATGTAAGGGGGGCTCTGATGTGGACCCTGATGTAAAGGGGGCTCTGCTGTAAACCCTGATGTAAAGGGGGCTCTGATGGGAACCCTGATGTAAGGGGGGCTCTGATGGGGACCCTGATGTAAGGGGGGCTCTGATGGGGACACTGATGTAAGGGGGGTCTGATGAAAACCCTGATGTAAGGGGGGGGGGCTCTGATGGAAACCCTGATGTAAAGGGGGCTCTGATGGGGACCCTGATGTAAGGGAGGAGTTATTGTATGTTCTGCAGATGTTTTTCAAACTATTCCTTTTTTTTTGGGCTCAAAAAAAGTAAAAACGTCTTTCTATCTATCGCTGCCTAATGGACGAAAAACGAAGGAACTGTCCGGATGACAGATTTTCCATCTGGTGTATGGGCACCATAAGACTTGAGCTCCATGATGGATCCATCACTTGCCCACATTCTTCCGGTGTAAATTTGGTGGATTTCCCGTGTAGACGATAGGCCTAGATGGTCCTAATGATCTTGGATCCAGATCTTCCCGGCTCTCATTACTGTCCAGTCCATCCTTTGAAGGCTCTACCAGCCCCAGAGAGCTCATAAATCTCCTCCATTGGGCTGTGGCTGTCCTGCCGCTCAGATTTATGGACACATGGCTGATTATATTAAGTGGTACGGAGAGGGGAGAGACACACACTCATCTACTACACTGACAGGGGCGCAATGAGCGTACAACGCAGGACGGGCCTCACATCTCACAGCCGGGGCGTGTAATCACCGCTCTGCACCACTTTACAATGTAGGATCTGCTGATGGAAATGACATCCAATACAAGGAGGCCCAAAGAACACAATGTACTGGAAAGATCCCCGAGTGCCTGACCAGGTAGATGCAACAGCAGGCACCGCTTGGTAATCAGCGGACCAGGAGTGGGGTGCAGGGGGACAGTCACAGGGTTAGGAGGTGCAGGGAGCAAATCACAGGGTTAGGAGGTGCAGGGAGCAAGTCACAGGGTTAGGAGGTGCAGGGGGAACGTCACAGGGTTAGGAGGTGCAGGGGGAAAGTCACAGGGTTAGGAGGTACAGGGGGCAAGTCACATGATTAGGAGGTGAAGGGAGCAAGTCACAGGGTTAGGAGGTGCAGGGGGAACGTCACAGGGTTAGGAGGTGCAGGGGGAAAGTCACAGGGTTAGGAGGTGCAGGGGGCAAGTCACATGATTAGGAGGTGCAGGGGGAAAGTCACAGGGTTAGGGAGGTGCAGGGGGCAAGTCACAGGGTTAGGAGGTGCAGGGGGCAAGTCACAGGGTTAGGAGGTGCAGGGGGAAAGTCACAGGGTTAGGAGGTGCAGGGGGCAAGTCACATGATTAGGAGGTGCAGGGGGAAAGTCACAGGGTTAGGAGGTGCAGGGGGCAAGTCACAGGGTTAGGAGGTGCAGGGGGCAAGTCACAGGGTTAGGAGGTGCAGGGGGCAAGTCACAGGGTTAGGAGGTGCAAGGGGCAGGTCACAGGGTTAGGAGGTGCAGGGGGAATGTCACAGGGTTAGGAGGTGCAGGGGGAACGTCACAGGGTTGGGAGGTGCAGGGGGCAAGTCACAGGGTTAGGAGGTGCAGGGGGCAAGTCACAGGGTTAGGAGGTGCAGGGGGCAAGTCACAGGGTTAGGAGGTGCAAGGGGCAGGTCACAGGGTTAGGAGGTGCAAGGGGCAGGTCACAGGGTTAGGAGGTGCAGGGGGAAAGTCATAGAGTTAGGAGGTGCAGGGGGCAAGTCACAGGGTTAGGAGGTGCAGGGGGCAAGTCACATGATTAGGAGGTGCAGGGGCAAGGTCACAGGGTTAGGAGGTGCAGGGGGCAAGTCACAGGGTTAGGAGGTGCAAGGGGCAGGTCACAGGCTTAGGAGGTGCAGGTGGCAAGTCACAGGGTTAGGAGGTGCAGGAGGCAGGTCTTAGGGTTAGGAAGTGTAGGAGGCAAAGCTCAGGGTTAGGAGGTGCAGGTGGCAAGTCTTAGGGGTAGGTGGTGCAGGAGTGGGGTGCAGGTGGCAAGTCACATGGTTAGGAGGTGCAGGGGGCAAGTCAAAGGGTTAGGTGGTGCAGGAGGCAAGTCACATTAGGGTTAGGAGGTGCAGGAGGCAAGTCATAGTGTTGGGTTATGGTTAGGCAGGGCAGGAGGTAGAAGGTGACCATTCTTCCAGAAGCACATTTGTCAGGTCAGGCACTGATGTCGGGGGAGGAGGCCTGGCTCGCAGTCTCCGCTCTAATTCATCCCAAAGGTGTTCTATGGGGTTGAGGTCAGGACTCTGTGCAGGACAGTCAAGTTCCTCCACCCCAAACTGGCTCCTCCATGTCTTTATGGACCTTGCTTTGTGCACTGGTGAGCAGTCATGTTGGAACAGGAAGGGGCCATCCCCAAACTCCTCCCACAAAGTTGGGAGCATGAAATTGTCCAAAATGTCACCTGAAGAGTTCCCTTCACTGGAACTAGGGGGCCAAGCCCAACCCCTGAAAAACAACCCCACACCATAATCCCTCCTCCACCAAACTTTACACTTGGCACAATGCAGTCAGGCAAGTACCGTTCTCCTGGCAACAGCCAAACCCAGACACATCCATCGGATTGCCAGACAGAGAAGTGTGATTGGTCCCTCCAGAGAACACGTCTCCATGCTCTAGAGTTCAGTGGCAGCGTGCTTTACACCACGGCATCCGACGCTTTGCATTGCACTTGGTGATGGAAGGCTTGGATGCAGCTGCTCGGCCATGGAAACCCATTCCATGAAGCTCTCTACACACTGTTGTTGGACTCATCTGAAGGCCACACCAAGTTTGGAGGTCTTTAGCTATTGACTCTGCAGACAGTTGGCGACTTCTGCGCACTGTGCGCTTCAGCATGCGCTGACCCCGCCCTGTCATGTGACGTGGCCTACCACTTGGTGGCTGAGTGGCTGTTGTTCCCAGTTGCTTCCACTTTGTTATAATCCCACTAACAGTTGAGCGTGGAATATTTAGTAGCCAGGAAATGTCACGGATGGACTTATTGCCCAGGTGACCACCTATCACGGGACCACGCTTGGAGTCACTGAGCTCCTGAGAGCGACCCATTCTTTCACCAATGTTTGTAGAAGCCGTCTGCATGCCTAGGGGATGATTGTATACACCTGTGTCCATGGAGGGGATTGGAACACCTAAATCACATGATATGGAGGGGATTGGAACACCTGAATCACATGATATGGAGGGGATTGGAACACCTGAATCACATGATATGGAGGGGATTGGAACACCTGAATCACATGATTGAGAGGGGATTGGAACACATGAATCACATGATATGGAGGGGATTGGAACACCTGAATCACATGATTGAGAGGGGATTGGAGCACATGAATCACATGATATGGAGGGGATTGGAACACCTGAATCACATGATTGGGAGGGGATTGGAATACCTGAATCACATGATATGGAGGGGATTGGAACACCTGAATCACATGATTTGGAGGTGATTGGAACACCTGAGTCACATGATTTGGAGGTGATTGGAACACCTGAATCAGATGGTATGGAGGGGATTGGAATACCAGAATCACATGATATGGAGGGGATCGGAACACCTGAATCACATGATATGGAGGGGACCTTGGAATTGGAATACCTGAATCACATGATTTGGAGGGTGGGGCCAATACTTTTGGCAATATAGTGTATATGGTTTATATGACCAATACCAACTAGAGACTTTGTTCCATTTTTCGTAATGTGATTTCCTATTGGCTAGCTGAGACTCCATAGACTGCCTACACACTATTTGATTCAGTATGAATTATGAATCCAGCCAATCACAAGACAAAATGTGAGAAGCTTCTGAAGCTTCTGGAGGCGAGGTACAGTATCAGGAGCGGACTGATAACTCATGGGGCCCCGGGCGATAGGGGATCATGGGGCCCGTGTCCTTGCCCACACTCAAAGCACACCCAAAAAAAGCCTATAAAAGGTACCAGGGGCATCTCATGGGGCCCCCGACTGACCCCGGTCCCTCTGGCAGTGCCCGAGTGCTCAAATGGTCAGTCCGCCCCTGTACAGTACATCCGAGTTTCAAGACCCTGACGCTCAATTTAGGACTTTACCACTCAGGAACTAATTAGTGACCCAAGAGTGGTTTTGCCCTCGGCGGTGGTCACTCCTTCTCACATGACTACCCCGGGTCACAATTCATTCATAGTATAGACTTCCTATAGAGGACTTTGGCATGAGATTCCTTCAGGTGGCACACTTTAAATCCCAACCACGGCGCCACCTAGTGGACGGTGGCATTGCTGCCGGGCCGATTATATAACAATGGTTACAAAACATTTCTGCACAATAGTATTTGGATTATCAGACACCTTCCTGTTCCTCTTCCTACCCGGTGGGTTTGTATGCCAGTATTATGGAAGCCTCATTTCGGGAATTCAGCGCTTGTAGATTAGTGTCTCATTTCCAAATCTTTACTCAGAAACAACTTCTTATCGCCGCGGCGTGACAAAGAGAACCAACAAAGTGAATTATAGTCAGCAGTTTCAACACATGCAACAGTTTTTACATAATTCTCCGGAAGAGGCTCACACGCTCTCCGAGAAATCCTTTCCTAGGAACAGAGGAGATCGGGGCCTCTAATGTTACACACATCAGGCTCAGGCGCTGGAGGACTACAAGTCCCATCATTCTGGGTGGAGGGGGGACTGCAAGTCCCATCATGTCTGGGAGGAGGGGGGACTGCAAGTCCCATCATGTCTGGGAGGAGGGGGGACTGCAAGTCCCATCATGTCTGGGAGGAGGGGGACTACAAGTCCCATCATGTCTGGGAGGAGGGGGGACTGCAAGTCCCATCATGTCTGGGAGGAGGGGGGACTGCAAGTCCCATCATGTCTGGGAGGAGGGGGACTACAAGTCCCATCATGTCTGGGAGGAGGGGGACTACAAGTCCCATCATGTCTGGGAGGAGGGGGGGGACTACAAGTCACATCATGTTTGGGAGGAGGGGGACTACAAGTCCCATCATGTCTGGGAGGAGGGGGGACTACAAGTTCCATTATGTCTGGGAGGAGGGGGACTACAAGTCCCATCATGTCTGAGAGGAGGGGGGACTACAAGTCACATCATGTCTGGGAGGAGGGGGACTACAAGTCCCATCATGTCTGGGAGGTAGGGAAACTACAAGTTCCATCATGTCTGGGAGGTAGGGAAACTACAAGTCCCATCATGTCTGGGTGGTAGGGAAACTACAAATCCCATCATGTCTGGGAGGCAGGGAAACTACAAGTCCCATCATGTCTGGGAGGAGGGGGGACTACCAGTCCCACCATGCCTGGTAGGCAGGGAAACTACAAGTCCCATCATGTCTGGGAGGATGGGGACTAAAAGTCCCATCATGTCTTGTGGAGAGGGACTACAAGTCCCATCATGTCTTGGAGGAGGGGAAACTACAAGTCCCATCATGTCAGATATTCATAGACTGTGAACTTGCTTCAGGAGACTGTATATAGGAGTGGTTGGAGATGGGATCATGCTTCAAGACAGTTATAGACTGGCGACACGTTACACGAGACTGCTAGAGATCAATGTTATAACAGGGCAATAAGGAAACACAGATTAGAGTCTGCAGGGGCCCTGAGGGCCACACATAAAGTACCAAAGGGCTGCATGTTGGACACCAGAGATCTGGTGATGGTCAACTAAGGTTCGAGGTGTTCCTTCCTAAGGGACTGGCCGGTGGTCACTGGCTCTCAATGCCATGGAAGTCCTATGTCCTCTGTGAGGTTTTCAGGTGAGTGTGTGAAACTGTTGAGTTGAAACGGAGTCCGCCGGTGGTTCGGTCGGCAGCGGCGTCTGTTGTCCTAAGACTGAGATATAACTAGGACCTTCAGGGCCCTTCTCATTGATCTCCGGGCTCTTTACTCCCATTGCAGGGCCCTTTATTAAGGTCTCACGGAAGGACGCTTTCATATGCTCTGCAGCCTGCCATCTTGCCCCCACCGTGGTGACCGAAAGCCAGGGCCCAGTCGTGAGTGTGACCTTTGCGACCCCGGTAATTCCACCGCTGGACTAAGAGTAGGTTGGAGTCCTCTAGTCTAATCAACACCAATTTTTTCTAAAGAAATTTGATGTTCATTATTATTATTATTATTACATGGAGTTTATATAGCGCCAAAGGGTTTGCTCAGCGCTGTACAATAGAGGGGGGGGGACAATACATGAAACATTACAGCAACTACAAACAGCACACGAGGGGTTCGAGGGCCCTACTCTTTCGAGCTTACAATCTAGGAGGGAGGGGGTAGTGGCACAGGAGGAAGTGGCTGTGGGGGATGGAGTGGTAGGAGGAATGAAGGAGAGCAGCAGTTAGGTGAGGGTGGGGTAGGCTTCCCTGAAGAGGTGGGTTTTCAGGGAGCGCCTGAAGGTGAGGAGGGAAGGTGACAGTCTGATGGATTGGGGTAGTGAGTTCCAGAGGATGGGGGAAGACCTGGAGAAGTCTTGCAGACGTGCGTGTGAGGAGGAGACCAGGGAGCAAGATAGAAGGAGGTCCTGTGAGGAGCGAAGGGTACGGGTAGGGTGGTACCTGGGAATCAGGTCGGTGAGGTAGTTAGGGGCAGTGTTGTGAATGGCTTTGTAGGTCAGAGTGAGCAGTTTGAATTTGATGCGTTGGGCGATAGGGAGCCAGTGGAGGGATAGGCAGAGGGGGGAGGCAGAGGTGGAGCGGGTGGTGAGGTGGATGAGTCTAGTCGCTGAGTTCAGGATGGTCTGAAGCGGGGAGAGCCTGCACTGGGGTAGGCCGGTGAGGAGGGAGTTGCAGTAGTCAAGGCGTGAGATAATCAGGGAGTGTACGAGTAGTTTGGTGGTGTCTGGGGTGAGGAAGGAGCGTATTTTGGCGATATTGCGGAGGCGGAGCCTGCATGTGTTTGTAAGTGATTTGACATGAGGTTGGAAGGAGAGGTTAGAGTCCAGAATGACTCCAAGGACTTTGGCTTGCGGGGCTGGATTGATGGTGGTGATGTTAGTAGTGATGGAAAGGATGGGGGGGGGGGGGGGGGGGGCGGGGCAGGAGGGAAGATGAGAAGCTCGGTTTTGGAGAGGTTAAGCTTGAGGAAATGGAGCGAGGTTGTTTGGGTCAGAGGGGTCCAGGGAGGGCTTTTTGAGTATGGGGGTGATGTGCGCATGCTTTAGGGCTTGGCATTAAACTAGAGGACTCCAACTTATTCTCAGTCGTATGCCAATGGGCGCCTCTGCCAACATGACCATCAACGGGCTTTTTTGCAGACTCCGTCTGAACTCACCGTGTTGGGTACTAGGTAAGATTTGGTCTAGAGGCCCACGTGTGGGAAGGAAAGCATGGCCATGCTGGAACGTGTAGCTCCTCAGTTGTATGACCCATAGCGGACGCAGAGGTAGGTTGGGGTACAGTAGCGCTCTGTTACCTCTTTTAGCTCTTGGCTTGGCAGAGAAGTCACGTTACAGGTGGGCGTCGGGGAGACATGTGCTGCCGGTTTACACAGAGCTGCCTTCTGATCTGGGACCCGTTAAAGCGGAGAACATAAAACACATTTTGTGTCAATGGAAGAACATGTAACTGTCTGAAAACTATCACAAGATTACACAACGGCCACAATTATCTCCCCGCAGAGGGTCGTTCACATGAGTGATGGCCCGCTTGGCAATTAGACCCGACACTCAGAATGAGTTTTTTTGCCACCTCATGGTTTATTGCAAGTTGAATAGATCATTGAGAACTGAGGGAGGTGGGGCAATCATACACTCACTGGCCACTTTATTAGGTCCACCTGTTCAATGGCTTGGTACCACAAATTGCTAAGCAGCCAATCGCATGGCAGCAACTCAATGCATTGAGGCATCCAGACGTGGTGAAGATGACTTGTTGAAGTTCAAACTGAGCATCAAAATGGGGAAGAAAGGGGATTTGTGATGTTGAACATGGCATGGTGGTTGGTGCCAGACGAGCTGGTCTGAGTAGTTCAAGAACTGCTGATCTCCTGAGATTTTCCCGCACAACCATCTCTAGGGTTTACAGAGAATGGTCCGAAAAAGAGAAACTATCCAGTGAGTGGCAGTTGTGTGGAGGAAAATGCCATGTTGATGAGGAGGTCAGAGGAGAATGGGCAGACTGGTTGGAGATGATAGAAAGGCAACAGTAATGCCAATAACCCCTCATTACAACCAATGTATGCAGAATACCATCTCTGAACGCACAACACATACAACCTTAAAGCAGATGGGCTACAGCAGCAGAAGACCACACCAGGTGCCACTCCTGTCAGCTAAGAACAGGAAACGGAGGCTAAGATTCGCACAGGATCACCGAAATTGGACAATAGAACATTGGAAAAATGTTGCCTGGTCTGATAAGTCTGGATTTCAGCTGCGTCATTCAGATGGTGGGGTCAGAATTTGGCGTAAACAACATGAAAGCATGGAACCGTCCTGCCTTGTATCAACGGTTCAGGCTGGTGGTGGTGGTGTCCTGGTGTGATGGATCCATCCTGCCTTGTATCAACGGTTCAGGCTGGTGGTGTCATGGTGTTGTGGATCCATCCTGCCTTGTATCAATGGTTCAGGCTGGTGGTGGTGGTGGTGTCATGGTGTGGGTGATCCATCCTGCCTTGTATC